AGGCCCAGCTCATTTGGCTTTTCCTCACAGGAGAGATGCTCCAGTGCCTTCATCTGAGTGGCCTTTGTTGGACTGACTCCAGTGCCTCCGTGCTCTTGCATGAGGGAATCCAGAACTACACACTTGTTTGACTACATGAGGTTGCTATCAGCCCAGATTAAAAAAAAAAAACCACCTTGTTGCAACAAGAACAAAAGAAAAAAGCCATACTTTCTGTACTAGAGAATCAATAATAATTTTACAAGTATTTTGAAAATTTACAGAATGATGTTGGACTTAAGCTGATTTCTGTAAACATTTTTTACTTGAGATGATGAAATTTAATGGAAATGGCTGTCTGAACACCTAAGGTGCAGTACTGAGATACAGGCTGAAATTAACAGCTTTTCCATATAATCATTAATGAGTTCTAGAAATATACTTGGGATATCTAATAATCTGAGCAACTCATATGTTGCTTCTGCTAAACTGCATGTAATATAAACTGACATTTTCACATTCTGTGGTGAAGTTTGTATTTCTGTATTTAGGCATGTGTTTAGTATTGAAATGTTTGAGAAAAGTGTCTTCTAGAAAATTAATTTGTAACAGCAAAAGAGTATGCTAAGCAACATTTAAATACATTTTATTCTTAAATCACTCAACTCAAACTGATCTACCTGAAATGAGATCATGCATATAGCATTGCTGGCATACAAGTAGTTTCTTAGTAGTCCAGAGGAAAAACTAACCATGCTTCCTAAAAGGAAGAGAGAAAACAATGATCATCCAAGAAAACAGACCTGCATGAAGTGTGATTCATTCCAATGAATAGCCTTCAGCTCCATATGTTTTTCACAACACCTCTGAAAATGAATTTCTTTAGTCCATGGTATGCTCAGAAACAGATTTAGCAGTTACTCTGGATGGTTTTGGAATATGTTAATTCTAGCAAAAACCTTGTCAGCGGTGCTCTTGTATGGGAAGAGCTGAAAAATTAATAGAAAAATATCTTCAGTAGTTATGAAAGGTAGTACATTATGGAAATGAAAATGGCTGAGTGATGCTAAGTAAACTGTCGTAAAACCTGTCTCAAAAATAATCTTTTCTTGCCCCACCTTAGCAATTAAGACAAGAGCTGTTATTTCAAAATAATAGGTTTTGTTGTTTACTCTGTCTACCCATTTTAACAGTATAATTTAATTGAAGGAAGCATTACATCACCATAGTATTAGTGCAATAAAAGCTGCAGTATCCCTCATGAGCATCTGGTAATATTGTTTCATTAGACCAAGGACCACAAAAACAGATTTCTTTTTATTTTTTTAAAGCAGTGTATAATTTAAAGTGGGAAGTATTTTCTGTCAGGAAGAGCAGAATACTTTAAGCATACTGAGACAAGGGACAGAATCCAGAGAATCAACAGTTTGATGGGAACAATTAAGATGTTAGTGCCATTTGGATGGGCATTCAGTAGAAAGAATTAATAAAAGGGTGGGAGGAAACAGAAGGAAAAACAAGAAGTGGGCACAGAAAGTAGGTAAAAATAGGAATTGAGGAGTTTTGCAAAGATGATGATGAAGACTCTTCTTTCCAGAACTGCATATTAAATTTGCCTCTGTTACCTCAGGGTTGGAGTAGCTTCCACATAAGTACTGTTTTCATGCACTAAAGTACATAAGGTAATGTGAGCATCATTCCCTGTCCACTGCTCTTTTTATCTCACTTTATTCTGCTGTCCTTGTGCCAAATACTCTGGGTGGCAGCACAAAAGTATTGTTCATCATCACTGCTTTATACAGAAAAGCATCACTCTCATTCTCCCATTGTCTCTCTCAGCCATGATGAAAGGGTTAACATTTTCCTTTTCAAATGAATACCTAGACTAAAGGAAACCATAGGTGACTTCCATGGCACCAGATGTTCAGTTTTACATTTACTGCTCAGCCACCTTTTCTAATCGTGGGCAGGCACTGTGAAAGAGCAAAAGTTTTTAAAACTGGGCACAGGTACAACCATGTGCAGGTGAGACTGTGAAGGTCTGACTCAGCAGCTATTGGGAGGTAAGCCCTGGTTGGATGCATTGCCTGGAACAGGTAAAGAGGAGTCCACTCCTCTTCCAGTTCCTTGCATAGTCTAGATTTGTTCTGTTCACAACTTCACTCTGAGACAACTACTGATGTCGTTCCTAATCCACAGTACAACTGGGACTTAGCTTAACTCTGGAAGCAGCACTGGAATCAAAGTTGCACTGTTCTGCTACAGTCTAGAGAAAGCAGAGCAGTTTTCCTAGGGGGAAAGGATTGTACCTTAAATTTTATATGTGAAAAAACAGGAACAAGTATCAACAAAATAAAACAGAAACAAGTATCAACAAAGTTTAGAACTCTTATCATTAATCAGTTTGGTGTTGCCAGAGAGAAAATTTAGTCTAAAATTGAACTGGACATATTCAAGCATTAGGGATTTCTTCATAGGAATAACTTCAACAATTTGTAAGTAGTTTGTCAGTAAATGAAGTAACATTAAGTACCATGGCCTCCCTCAAATAACATGTTTAACATGGATGGATTTGCATTAACCTTTCAAATTGGAACGTATGCCACAAATTTCGGCCTGTAAATTGATCAATCAGTGTTCTTGCCTTTTCAAGCTTAATCTTTGCTCACAGTGACCTCTAGTGTGACGGAATGAGACAATGCAGTGGATCCAAGGCAGTGCACAAAGAGCTTCATTTGTGTTCATACTTTTACCAGGATGAGGGGACACGTGTGTGCCGTCTGTTTGACTGTAGGACACACTGCATTAAGCATGCAAAACATGAGCAGCAAACCCAAAACATGAACCCCAAAATATTCCTTTAGCCATACCAAATAAGGAATTCAAAGATTTTTTCATTCCTGTGCCATTTTGATCAGATTTTTGTTTATAAAAAACTCCACGAATGGTTTGATACATTTGGTAACAGCTTCAGATAATTTTCAGCATTCCCAAGTACAAGAGATTGCTTTTACTTTCTGAAACCTTGCAGTGGATTTTGTCTGAAAGATACAAATCAGAAGGCCAAGATGCAACAATTTCTATAAGAACTGCTGTAGACTGTACGGATTCTTCAAACCCTGTCCACACTATAGCTATGAATAAACTTCAGTAGTTAAGAATTGACATCAATATATTACATATATTTTTCTCAGCCAAGTACACCGAAGTGACCATTTCCCTTCTCTTTTCTGCAGAACAATTTGCATGAAATAGGGACAGGAAAAAAGCTCTAAAGCAAATATTTTTCTGTTTGATTTCTCCAAAATTGCAGGAGAAAAAAGTGGAGGATATAATTATAGAAAGTAATTTAGTAGGAAATATTACATATTAAAGTGTTTGCCAGTGTTAAATTGCAGTTTGGTAGTTAGAGTAATTTAGAATTAGCTAATTAAATCCTTGACTATTAAAAATGAAAGCTGTAAGCATATTCACACATTCCAGAAGGAAGTGATCTTGGGCTTACTTTGGACAAATAGAGATGACCATTCCTTTTTCAGACAAGTTCACATGGCTTGAAATATAAACTATCAATACTTTGCCAAAGACCCTGGAAGTTTTTTTTCTATAAACTATTTTCTGTCCCTCCTAGGATTACTCCTGCTACATGGCACCAAATGTGGACATGTTGTTCTGCAATCACAAAACTTTACATAGGAATTGCTGTCTGAAAAACTGTCTTCCTATGTGAGAACCCCAGCCTTGTTTTGGGGCCACATGTAGTGGTGAAATTCCTCCTCCAACCCGTGCTTCCAAAGAAAAACTCCACAGGCTCTCGCTGTTCGGTCTCAAGGCAGTTTATTGCTAGTTATCTAACAGATTATGTTCTTGGACTGCGGCTGTTTGATCAGCGGCCTGGGTAGAGGCACACACACACCCTGGCATCCTCTCTATCTGCTGTCTTCCTCGTCTCTCCCCGCCCAGGGCTGCTGCTATCTTTTATATGATATATTACGTATAACATGTTTACAATTATTCCCCAATACCTACTACCTACGTTGNATGAAAGCTGTAAGCATATTCACACATTCCAGAAGGAAGTGATCTTGGGCTTACTTTGGACAAATAGAGATGACCATTCCTTTTTCAGACAAGTTAACATGGCTTGAAATATAAACTATCAATACTTTGCCAAAGACTCTGGAAGTTTTTTTTCTATAAACTATTTTCTGTCCCTCCTAGGATTACTCCTGCTACATGGCACCAAACGTGGACATGTTGTTCTGCAATCACAAAACTTTACATAGGAATTGCTGTCTGAAAAACTGTCTTCCTACATTTCAGTTTTAGGAATGTTTAATGTAAAAGAATTCTGTTCTAGAGGTTATGCAAAATGTAATTAAGGTTTCAAAAATGTGCAAAACCGTCACATTGAAAATTTAATTCCTGACAGGAAATATATGCTATTAGTCATATCAGATCAAATTCCGTCATATTGTGGCTTTGGGGGTTTAGTCAGAAAGCAGGACTTGCTGTGGTAACCATTTCCTAACATTTAATGTTCAGGTAAGGTGAATTGCCTTTGCACACTCCTAAAACCCTAGAATTCCTTTAATGTCTCAGAAGGGACATTAGAGATCATATAGTTCCAGTGCCCCTGCAATGGGCAGGGATGCCACCCACTAGACCAGGTTGCCCAGAGCCCCCATTCCTGGAAGTGTTCAAGGCCAGGCTGGATGGGCAACCTCTTCTAGTGCCTCACCAACCTCTGAGTAAAGAATTTCTGCCTAATATCTACCTGTTCTCTTTCAGTTAAAAACTTCCCACTTGTCCTATCACTATTGATTTGTGTACAAAGTTTCTCTCCATGTTTTTTTTAAGCTCCCTTTGTATACTGGAAGATGGTGCAAGGTCTACCCAGAGCCTTCTCCAGGCAGAACAACCCCAACTCTCGGCCTGTCTGCACTAGAGGTGCTCCAGCCTTCTTTGTGGCTTGCTCTGGACCTGCTCTAACAGGTCCACACCCTTCTCATTTTGGGACCTGCAGAGCTAAACACAACACTCCAGTGGGGGGTCTCTCAAGAGCAGAGTACAGAGGGGAGAAAGCACCTCCCTCAGCCTCCTGGCTGGGCCTCTTTTGATGCAGTTCAAGCCAGGCTTGGCCTTTTGGGTTGCAAATGTGCACTGCTGTGGCATGTCTGGGTTTTGGTCCACCAGAATCCCCAAGTCCTTCTCTGACAGGCTTTCTTCAATGAGTTATACTCCCAGTCTCGACTCATAGCAGGAGTTACCCTGACCCCAGTGTAGTACCTTGCACTTGGATTGTTGAATTTATGATATTCTCCTGGACCCACTTCTCAAACTTGCCTAGGTTTCTCTGGATGGCATGCCCTCCTTCTGTTGTGTCAAGGAGTTCTTAAATGGAGAATTTCAGAATTATTACCTGCAAAGTTCACGTTATTGATTGTCAGGTACATAAAATAATAAAGAGAAAGGGTACAGTCAATTTAAAATGCATATTTAAACCTCTGTTCTTTGTCCATTAGGCTGTCTTCCCAAAATCTTTTAAATACAATTTTCTACCATATTATATGTAATATGAAAATTATATTTTCTACTATATTTCACATTTAAAAGCTCGTTCAGATTTTATTTATACATGCAAGTACTCCAGTTGTGTTGATTAACATCAAAATAACTGAAATTTAGTAACAACAGTATACCTTTACCTGACATTAAAAGGAGAATAGGGACAGATTGCAGCTCTTTAATAATACTTTTATATAATGTTTTTTTTTCTGAGCAAATTGAATAATATAATTATTCTTATGATGCCAGAGGTAGTTAGACTGTATTCTTGCAGGATGGTGTTGGTCAGCTTGAGGTAGTTCAACATCTTCCCTATCTTGTCTGGTATTAGGATGTGTCACATGCAAGATTCCCACCAGGTGGCAATAAAACCTCTTCATTCTTTAAAGCGTTTGCAATTATTTTAGATGGTAGAAATGTATGTTCTGTACTAATTAGACAGGGAAATCATGATTTCTAAAAAGGTGATAGAAAATTATTTTTCTGAACTCTCAAGGTACGAGTGCTTACAAAAAGTCTGGGAACAGATAGAAGTGTGCTGGGCAATAGTTATTGTTGTGTTCTTAACAGCTATTTCAAGGTAAATAAAAGTAATATATTCCACTTGGTTCCTGAGAAACTGAAATAACTTTGTCTTTTGATGAAACTGTAGAGAGCAGATAGTGTGAAATGCTAATTTACTGGTGGGAGCTTAAACCTCACAGAAGTCTCACAATTTTAGTTCATATTTAGATTGATCAATTCACATCTTCAACTACAAAAGAAATATTCTTTTTAGACTTAATCCAGGTGTGTTTCTATAAGCGCTGTACAGCTGCTATATTCCTATCCTGTATTTCTATTCCTATCCTTTTTTATGAAGGACAAAAGCCCTGCACACATACAGCCTTAGTTTACTTAGTTTACTGCCACTAGCGGTGAAGTGCCAGTAGCAAAAGCTGCATGAAGATGCACTGATTTGTCCCCTACTTTCTTTTGATAGTTTCTGGCATATATTTCTCGCCCCATTCATCCTAATTCCTTGCAAAAATCTCTTGCCCCTTATTTCTTAATGTTAAAAGATATTTTTCTACTTTATGTATTACACCACCCTTGATTTTACCTACCCTTCCAGCCCAGGCATGCATGCAGAAATATGTCACTACATAATTTCTGCACCCAAGCAAGCCTTAGTATGATGAGTAGCACACTGATGCAACTTTGGCCTGAAATTTTACACACTTTCTGGTGCAAATTTTAATTCTGAAACAGTTAATGTATAATGCAGATTAACAAACTCAGTGTGGCAAGTTGACCCTGGCTAAATGCCAGAGGCTGGCTACAGCCGATTTATCACTGCACTCAGCTGGGCAGGGGAGACAATGGGTCCTCATGGGTTGAGATAAGGGCAGGGAGAGATCACTCACCAGTTACTCTCATAGGCAGAACAGACCCAACTAGGGGGAAAATTATTTTAATTTATTATTCATCAGATGAGAGTAGGATAATGAAAACACCCCTCTTCTTGGGCTCAACTTTACTCACATATTCTCCACCTCCTCCCTGCAGTAGCACAGGGGGTCGGGGGTTGGGGGACTGCAGTCAGTTTATCACAGGTCATCTCTGCTGCTCCTTCCTCCTCCTCAGAAGCACTCCTCACACGCTCCCCCTGCTCCAGTGTGGAGTCCTTCCTGCAGGAGACAGTCCTCCATGAACTTCTCCAACATGAGTCCTTCCCATAGGGTGCCTGGGATCAGGACTGAATTGCTGCCTTGACTCAAGCCACAAATTTGCCCTTTTCTATAGCTCTCTTTCTTTATCTGCAAGAGCTACTTAACTGCCCTTCTGAAGGACTTCACAACTTGTTAAATAAGGCAAAGATTTAGCAAAAGTTACTATTGTTCTTTAGGCAAAATTATATATTTAAAGAAAAGGCCATCCAAGCTTGTGGACACACAAATACTTCAGGTATTTTTAAACCTTACAAAATTTGTAATATATTAAGTACTAGCAAAAACCCATCTAAAAGTTAACCCCATATTCTTAGTTAAGCTTAGTTACTTGTACTTATATCTGTCCCATTGAGATTGCTCACAGTTAAGAACACAGAATTTGACATTAAAGGCTACAGTAATATTTTTTCCTATGTCCTCCTCTCTCCACAAAAAAAGTCACAGAAACCCCCCATACCAAACAGCTATGCAAAAGAGTATCTGGCTTTTTTGTATGGACTATTTGTTTCTCTCCATTGATTTATAATGCACTTGCATCAGTCACAGGTACAGCAAGACATACACTTCTGAGATACACTTCCTAGAAATACTGCTCCTGATGAACAAATAAATAATGGCTTTCATAAAAAGGAATACCAGCATATTTTCAGCATATGACAAAATCTGCAGTTCCCTGTTCGCATTTTCCTGTTTTCCCCAACATACTAATCAGAGGATACCATTATATTCTGTATTGAATTCAGAATTCATAGGTACATTCCACTGAAGGAGATAACCTAGTTTTCTGATGGAATTAGAATTTATCAACACAGCTCAAAACAAACAAATTATGACTTTTCCCACATCTCACTACTGACAATTAGACAATTCAGTCAGTCTCCTGCTGACTTTGTTAAAAGCAAAGGAAACTATTGAAAAAAGTCACTCTATGATTACAAAAACTGAGATTCAAACCCATTTCTCTATTACTTGTCTCCCTATACTACTTCAGGATCCACTTCACTTTAATAGATCCAGGAAAGATTAAATAAAATTACTCCTGATATTCAAAGACAATCTGTTACAGTTCTTCACTGATTCAAATAAATTGGGAAAAAAAACCAAACCCAAGCCACCCAAGAATTTTACACAGTATGTTACATTTTATAGAGCTAATCTTTGATCCAGGATAGGTCAGTAACAGGATGGATCAAGAAGCCAAAGAATGAGGAAGAATAACTGGCTGTGTACTAGTACACAGGGGATTACAGTAGATTAAAAAATTATAAATCAGGAATGTCATTCTATTTCAGATAAAAACAAGTGCCATTGTGGCATGCAGGGCATACAGGAGGTAATCCCTTCACTACTCAGGATTGTAAGGCCACAGCTGCCACACTTCAAAATCCAGGTCCATACTTTGGAAAGAGGCAAATCACATGGATAAAGTCTAGTGGAGAGCAGTGAGTCGAAATCTACATGGATTTTAGGGGAAAAAAAGTGGGAAAATTGGTCTTTTAGTCTTGGCAAGGAAGATACTTCAAAATATGCAAAATATTTTGCAAATAGAATGTTTTGTAGTACTCAAAGGGGTTAGAACAGGAAGTAATAACTTGCAGCATATGAGATTTAGATTAGATATTAAAACCTTACAAGACCACTGTAGCAGGCCATATGTACAATCATCATAAGAGGGTTTTTTTAAGAGGAGGCAATACAAACTGCTATAAGGGATATCCAGGTATTAGGAATAAAGCTTCAGAGAACAAGATAGTTCAGATATCAACATTTCATCCAACTTTGAGATTTTTATCAACATCTCTTTATTCTTCAGATTACCACACTTTGAGAATCACTCTTCTTTTAAAGAAGTTTTTAGGAGCTTCAGAACATTGATAAGTACTCAATTCCAATTGCATGTTGCAATATATCACTTTTTAAATGTATGATATTTAGAATATTTCCTTATTACTTCCTACCTCTGTTATTCTCACTAAGATTGGTGAGAAAACCTAAAAAGCTTTTTCTCCTGCACACAGCTGAGACTACTGATCTGACACTTACTTAGTAAGAGCCAAATTTAGATATCCAATCAGCATAATGCTTTGCTAACACGTTTGACAATATTCACAGTTAGCAATTTGAAAGCCAGTAATACATCTGCCTTTTATTTTTTGTGGTTTTGTTGACATACTTATGTGAATCATTGCATTAATTAAGCTTTATTAATAAAGATCTGGTCTTTACATGTGATCAAGTTGTCATCTGGTCTTAAGATAAAACTTTCAATAGCAGAGTTGGAATAAGAAACAAATCTTAAAGAATCTCTTGGGGCACAGCATAAAAAAAAAAAAGGACCATTTAAATTATTGAGTTAGACTCCCTTTAGTTGTCTAACCTGGCATTTTAGTGGAGTGAGAGGGGACAGAGAGGATTGGGGTTTTTTTAATTTATGTGTTGTGGTTTCACCCCAGGCAGGTGCTTGCTCACTCCCCCCAGTCAGCAGGATCAGGAAGTGAATTGGAAAAGTAAAAGCTGGAAAACTGATGAGTTGAGATAAAGACAGAGTAATAGAAAAAACAAAAGCCACACATACAAGCAAAGCAAAATGAGGAATTAATTCACTGCTTCCCAAGGGCAGGCAGATGCTCACACATCTCCAGTACAGCAGGACCCATCAAGTAATGGTGATTTGGAAAGACAAAGGTAAACACCATCACTCCAAATATCCCCCTTACCTACTTCTTCCCCACCCCACTTATATACCGACCATGATGTCACATTGTTTTTAATATCCCATTTGACAGTTTGGGTCACCTGTCCTGGCTGTGTCTCCTCCCATTCACCTCTAACTTCCCTGACAGAGGGGAGGGTGAAAAAGCAGAGAAGACCTTGGCTCTGTGTAAGATCTGCTCAGCAATAACAAAAACATCTCCCTATTATCAACCCTGTGTTCAGCACAAATCCACAACACGGCCCCACACCTGCCACTGTGAAGAAAATTATCTCTACCCTAGCCAAAACCAGCACATCCTTAAGATTAAAAAGATTATTTAATAAAAATGCAATTTGAAGTTTCCAAAATTTTTTTTGGCTATAAATTTTTAACTCACCTAAAATCTTTCCTTTCAGTAATTCTCAAAGTCTTTAAAATATGCTAAGACTTTTTATGGTTAGAGCCACTTGAAATGATTAATATAAGAGCACAGTCTAATAGGGAAAGTTACTTAAATAATTCAATACTGTTATACCCTTTGATCGGTACATGAGGAACAGAGAATGCCTTTGGAGGTTCCGTTTCATTTTCACTTTAGGCAAGAGAACATTCCTTTTTTGAAGCAGAGAAATACTTTGTCTTACACTTTGTCTGGCACCACAAAGTGTTTTATACATACTCATTCCATGTGAGCAAGAAAAGCATCTGTAGGAGATGGGCAGGCCATATTCCAGATGTAGTTGCACTGACATCTTAAATAAATAAAAAATAAGCTAGGGAAATAATGCAGAAATTCCGAGCACTTCCAGGCACTTTATGAGCTTTACCATTTTTAGCAGATTAAACACATTTCATACACTGAGCTCTGAGGTATGAATAGTGTTCTCTTTGCTTCTTTTTGCCCTACAGCCTCCTAAGATGAGCTTTGGAAAATTGGAAAGACTGCACAGAGAGAGAATTAATTTGCACACAGGATCTGCAGCCTAAATTTATCATCTTGGCAGCCTTCTCTTTTTGAAGTGAATCATGAATCATCACCAAGGGAAGAGCCACAGAGGATAAAGTCCATGTCACAAGGTACTGTGGCTGGAGCCAGCCTTGGAGAGCCCGCATGGAGAGTGGCCACGCTGCCTCTGGGAGCAGCACAGCCACGAGCCCCCTGGGCAGTGAGCAGCCAGCTCATACACAGTGTGAAATTATCACAAACTCAGCAGTTTGGTCACCTCTATTGCTGACTGCCCTTTCCTCCACTGTACATCTGCTGTATCTTCTCCCAGCCTAATTTACTGATACCTTCTGCTATCAGCTTCCCACTTCTGTTTGAACCCACTATGACATTACTGTGGCTAGACAACAACTGAGAGCCCTTCCCAAGCTGTTGTATGCATTATGTCATTTTATGGCAGTACTCACAACACTTTCATAGTGTTACTGTTCATCTGAACTTGCAATTACAGAGTTTAATTAAATTTTGTTTGACACGCATCCCTGTTTTTTCTTAGTCTTTATTTGCCATGTGACTCCACCCTCCATCACAAAATGGTACTGGCAATCTCCACCAGCATATACATTGCTGTTGGCCAAGAGGGTTGGTGTTGGTCCCTTCCAGCTGAACTGATCTATTCTAGTCACAATTATTTTTCTAGAGAAAAAAGGGGGCCATAAGAAAATATAAATAAATGCACTTCATGCTATTTGGACAGAAGTCTATGTTTACACACCTTAATTACTCATGTTGTTACTGAACTCTGAGCAGTGTACTTCAAGGCAATAATCAATTTGGTATATTTCCTAAAGACAAATTGTAAAGACAGAGCTAATGTCATTAATCCTGTCTAAACTTTCTGCTTATTGCAGCCTGTTTTATTGAATTTAGGTGAAATTTCCTTTAAAGTGATATAAGGAGACCAAAACTATATGGGCAATTAATACAATTCTTTTTTCTTGACATAATATTAATGATGCTTGATGCAGTTAATTTTTAAACTTGAAAAACAATTTAATTTTCCTCTGTTTCTGTCACTTAACAGAAATCAAATGTACTTAACAGAGATTAAATATACTTTTATTACTTACAAAAGCATCCAAGTTCTGTACCACCAGAAATCAGACAGCAAGGAACAATTTCAGTTATTTTGCTTCTGAGCATTTGCAAGAATATATAGTATAGGAATATGATAGTATAGGAGATGCATGACTATGGTAATGCATCTCTGGGATGAGTAATGAAAGGGCCCATTTCATCTTCCACAAGGTAAACTCCCTGCACCTTTGGTTAGCAACTGGTCTTATCCAGTTTCTACCTCTGATGAAAGTCCTACTCTGTCTTTGAAGAGAGCTGCTTCCAAGTGAGAAACAGCAGACCTTACACATCTATGTTCAGTTACATACTATTTTCCAAAGATAAACAAATCTTTGGCCTATTTTCTCTTCTAATAGGATAAAAGGAAGGAATTTATCAGACTATCTGTTCACTTCCCTATCACCCTTTATTTCTTCTCAAAGATCAACTTTATGAGAGCAACCTTTTTTCATTCTCTAAGAAAGCTACATTCAGGGGAATGCCTCAATAATCCCCTCAAACAAAGACCTTGCAGGACAGCAGTAAAGTATTTATTGACTTTCCACTCTTATTGAAGATTTACATCAGTTTGCATAACAGAAGCTGTGATAAATCTTAAAGGGCATTTCCAACTAGCTGCTATCCTTTAAAATTATGCATAACCTTGTATCATGTCCTGAACCTGCAGTTTTAAATCCACAGGTGCAAGAGAAGTACACCTACGCTCTAAACATATAAACTGCTATAGCAGTACTAAAATATTCTGTATGATTAAGGTCTGAGATTAACTGGAAGATCAGTAAAGGGTATTTTCATTCCTTTTTTTCTTTGCATGTTAAGTTTCTATAAGAGGGATGCTACAACCCAAGAGTTTATGAACTTACCTAATATTATTGATATATACAATATTATAAGATTTTAGAAAGTCAAGGTTGTCATTAGCAACTAATTCTAAAAAGAAAGAAAAAGAATCATGAAGAGAAAAAATGGTCCACCAAAATGTCATGCTTTTAACAGCCATGTTAGAAGCCTTTCTTGAACAAAGCTCTGACTAGCTCAGTACATCACGTAGTAAAGCAAGCATGAGTGAGCCACAGGCACACATCCTCAGAGAATTCCTTCTAAGAAGTATAATGGCTGTTATTTTTACACTTTTAATCCATAGCCTCTCCTTATTACAGCTAATAATCTCAGCATACACATTAAAAAGGGCTCTGCAGGTAGCGTAGCATGAGAAATCAATTGCCATCCAAAGCACTACTGCTTGCTTCTATAGCAGCATCTTTGACCACAAATAGGTTAATATATTTTGAATCTTTCCTTTTCCCTTTTGTTTTAACATGAGTCAAATGCTTTATTCCCATATTCCACAGCATAGTCATTAACTTCATCTATTTATATTGTCATTTTTGATTTGATAGGTGACTGCACAGGAAGGCAGCTTTTAACCAAGTCAACTGTACATAAAGCCCATAATAAATCCTAATTTCAGAGTGTATATTCCCAGAAGACACTTCCCCCTCTATTAAGGAATAAGTGACTTCTCTAAAACAGGTGCAAGAAAACGTTAAAGTTCATACATATCTGCTCACACATGTGCTGACACACACAAAATAGGAATACTGCACAATCTATCCAGTAAATACAGAACCACAACTTATGATTGTTAAACTACAGATTTCAACTCTTAATTGCACTCTACTTCCTTAGTTCACTATTTATACCTGTGTATTTATTCCCTATTAAAAGCAGGAGTTTGTAACACTTGATATTTTTGGATATTATGCCATCATCCATATAAGCAGAACCCAGCACTAGAATGAGAAAGGCAGGAGAACATCTCCAAGAAGATACACTGCAACTTGTCATATCAGTGTTTTGACCATTTGTAAAAGAATATTAGGTTCTGATGATGTGTTGTTGAAAGAATTTATATGATGCACACAACTCTTGGCAGGTGTGGGCAGGTTCTGACCTTGGCCAAACCTTTATTGGTCCCACCTTCCAAGCTGTACACGCCAGCACCACTTCCCCTTTGTTACAGCACACACACATCCTGTGTTATGAAAGTCAGCAGCATGCTAGGTGACTTTTTTTTTTTGGCATATGTTGGTGCCACTATGATTTTTGTACACAATTGCAGAGCAAAGACAGATTCTCTTGGTGTGTGTAAAAGGCACCTCTGCTCCAGGGCCAAGGTAGCCTTGCCAGAGATTCACCCACAATGCAGAGAGGGAGCCCAGGCATCCCATACACAGACACTCAGCAGCCAGCTCTCTGAGCAAAACACATCCCAAGTACAGAAAATCAGGCCAGCTCTTTCCAGCAAGCTTGAATCCGAAAATAGTGTTCCTTAAAAAATCTTAAATTAATGTTAAAACATGACTGCTTTAAATGCAAATCCCCTGCAAGTTTCACAATGCCACAATAACTTAGAAGAATAAACCTCATTCCATTTCAATGACTCCAATTCTCCCAGGCTTTCTGAAGGAGATGTCTTGAATCCAACTTTTCTAGAAAAATCATTCCCATAAAAGAGCACACCCAAATCCTTTAAAGTGCACAATTATAGTCACTCAAGGTTCCTCCTAAAAGAAATTTTCTCTTGCTTCTCCTGAGCAATATTAACATTCATAATAATCAGTGCTATAAGAAGTTTTAAATATAGCTATATATTGTACATAATTGTTGTACTGTTGCTATGCACTATTGTATAACTGCCTGCAGATGGCTGCATTTCAATGGGAAAATTTTTTTTTCCCATTTTCAATGGGAAAAAAATACACACTCAAAAAACCCTGTTTTTTGAGTGTGTATTTCTGATTTCCAAACAGTATTGATAATATTAACAATAATAACAACAACAATCATAAAAAAAATAATCAATGCACCACTTTTACATTTACAGCAGCAAATAGGCTGGTCCCCTCTGCGTAAATCAGTTTCAAATGGGCTCCAGGATTTTTATTTTTTTAATAAAAGAATGTAAAAGCTTAAGGCATTACAAAAAGAACTGAAGCTTTAAAAACTTCTCACACTCCGAGTTTTTACTGAATAGGAGCACCACCTCTGTTTATAAGAGATTTTATTAGGATTAAAAGGCAAATTCAGACCAAGGATATTCTTCTGCCAGTCTGCAGGCTTAAAGCTCTTTAAAATGAGAATATCAATATTAAAAATGAATTAACTTTTCAATTATGGCCTGTCCTTGAAATTTTATTTTGCTTACTATTTAATATAGTCACTGCAGCATGAGTGCAATAAAGTCAAAGTGCTTCTAATCCTAAATTGCATAGTCATAAGGTTACCAGAAGGTTTTTAGGGCATTTTTAAAGTGTTACTTCATTTATTCCTCCTGAACCAAATGAAGAATTTGCATTGATTTTTAAGGAATTCAGAACAGAGCTATGTATTTTCTTGTTGATGTCTCACATACCACTTTTCAGATCCCATACTTCAGTCTGCTTTACCTGCCACTAATAGCAAAGGTAGGAAGCTGGTGACACAGTAGCCAAACAATAGGAGCAATAAATCAGCGGACACCTGGGCAAAATACCTCTCTTCCTTTGCAGAATCTTCTGTATTTCACAGCTTCACACTCTGTTTGTGTTGTTCAGAAGTTTCCCACATCAGCAGGGACACTACAGTTGCTGGGATTAATTTTTGGCTGACCCACTGAATTCCAGTGTGGACTTGGGCTTGACCCAGTAGTTTTCTGCTGTAAATAAACAGGCAAACAAAAACCAGGCCAGATTATAAATCTTTACTTTCACCTAATAGCCAGTCTGTTGGCTATTCCATGGCCACTAACAGCACCAGCTCTTTGGGGATGGGACCATCTTTACAGTAAATCTGTGCAGCACAGTGGGTCCCTCAGCTTCTAGATATTAGTGGGTATCAAAGTCCAAGCTCTCAAAAGAATGCTTTATTTTTCATGGAGTGATAGTTGCCCTCCAGCTGAATGGAACAGCAGGTATTAGAGCCATGACAGGAAGATAATGTATCTGTGCAGACAGGATAATCATGTTACTTTTAAATGAAATCAAATTTATGTTCATTAAAAAAAAAAAGCTGAAACATTTCTATTAATGAAAAATACTAAGAAACAAAGTGCTAGCTAAAATATAAACTATACTTTCTTCTTTATTTTCAAGTAATTTCAAGTGAAAATTATTCAATAAGGAGATATTTTGCATGTAACAACCTTATGCACCAACCCATTACAAGCAAATCCTGTACAGAACATCCTGCCTTTTTTCAGAACACAACACGGCATCCTTGAACACTAATATAATGCCATGTATATATTATATATGAGCTCCAATTTCCTCTCTCCCTGATCAGGGCCAGAACTAAGGCCCCAGACACCTACTCTTATGAATAACAGTTAGAAAGCAGCTAAAGGATAACAAGCTGCTTATTCTGGTTTCATTAATACAGTCTTGGAACACCCACTAATAAATGTGCTGGCAGTTTTTCAATATCTAAGTATCAAACATTTATACCTGAAATTTTCTTAGAAAATGGAAAAAAATAACTATATGAAGTAATTAACACCAACTGGGACATTCAATTTGTATTGATTTTAAAATCAAAAGCATCATTTTCTCTTACAGAAAAGGAACTTTCGGAGTTATTCTGGCTACAATAATTCCTTTAGGTCTTGTTTGAAATGCCTCCCTTTGGAAAGAGATTTAAGTGTTGCTTCACACTGCCCAGCAATGCATATTCCCTTTTAGTCTCAAAAGGTGGTTCTGTTAAAAAGTGCATTCCAATTTGGAATTTAATCATTCAGTGTGGCCATCAATAGAGTTAGTTTTATTTACAATACTGAAGTGGTCCTTTCTCAAATTTCTGTGCCTGTGATGCTGCCCTGAGCTGTGTCTCTGCTGAAGTCCATCAAGCTACTTCTTTGAGCATGTTCTGAGGCTGATGCATGTTTTTTGTATATTGTGATTCCTGTTTCAAATCTATTTTCCTATAGTCATTTTAAACTAAGTACAAACTTATCACTACAGCAGCAGCAACAACAACAGCAAAAGAAATGGAGTGGTAAGGCTTTTTTTTTTTTTTTTTTTTTTTTTTTTTTTTTTTTTTCTCTCCTTGATTTGGGGCCAATTTACACAAATACTGCATAAGCCATCAATATAACACTGAGCCAGTTGTCATGACCGTTCTCAATCCCGGAGGTTCTTGGTGCTTGGCTCACAGAAACACATTTCTGCTGCATTCACTGGGTCATCACTGAATCTGGATCAGCAGAAATACAATCACGAACAGCATTTAGTAAAGGCGCGTTCACAGCCGATGTTCGGAGGAGTCAGTCTGGTTTGAAACCCACAGCAAAGCCTGGGCCCGGGAGCTTCAAGCTGGTATTCTCTTCCATTCTGACCGAAGAACGAGGTTTTAAATGGCATCAGGATTTACAGGCGTCCGGCAGCTGAGCTGATCCGACAACTCCGTGTCTAATTCTTGTGTGACATAAAAAATTAAATGGGTCCATCCCCTCGGCACTCTGCGCCGGACGTGCGGGCACCTGCTTTAGCGGGGGCGAGCGAGGGGACCCGGTCCCCGCGGCGCGCACAGCGCCCGGCCCCGTGCGGGGCGGCTCTCGCGGAGCCCGCGGAACCGGTGCAGAGCCCGTGCGGAGCCCGCGCGAAGCCGGCGCGGAGCCCGGGCGGAGTCGGTGCGGAGCCGGTGCGGAGCCCGCACGGAGCCGATGCGGAGCCCGCACAGAGCCGGCGCGGAGCCTGTGCGGAGCCCGCGGAGCCGATGCGGAGCCCGCACAGAGCCGGCGCGGAGCCTGTGCGGAGCCGGCGCGGAGCCCGCGCGGAGCCCGGGCGGAGCCGGTGCGGAGCCCGTGCGGACCCCGCGGAGCCCGTGCGGAGCCGGTGCGGAGCCCGCGCGGAGCCGGCGCGGAGCCCGCACGGAGCCCGCGCGGAGCCCGCGCGGAGCCCGCACGGAGCCGGCGCGGAGCCGGCGCGGAGCCCGCGGAGCCCGCGCGGAGCCCGCGGAGCCCGCGCTGCCGAGCGCCCGAGCGGCGGCGGGCGCGGGGCGGGGCCGCGGGAGGGCCCGGCCGCCGCCGCCCCCGAGGGCGGGCCGCCGGTGACAGCTGGGAGGGACCCGGCGCCGGCAGCGAGGTGCGGCTGCCGGGCGGTGCTTCGCCGCCGCTCTGTCCGCATCGCGCCGGCGGATCCCCCCGGGCAAGGAGCGGGCCAGGGCTTGGCCGGGCCCTGCCGCCGTCGCCGGCCGCGGAGTGGGTGAGTGGCGGCGGGCACGAGTGGGTGATGCGGGGGCGGCGCGGACACGGGGTGGCAGGGGAGGGAGGACGGACGGCTGGAGGGATGGATGGATGGATGAATGAATGGATGGAGGGAGGATGCTGCCGCTCTTGGAGACTTTGGTCGTGCGAGGTGCCTAAGGGAAAAAAAGTGCATCCCGGGGCGGGGCGAGGCTGTGCCCCTCTCCGCTCGCCCGTCCGTGCCGGTGACCTACGGGCGAGGAAGCCCCGGGAAGGGGGCCGGTCCTTGGCGGGGCAGGGGCCGCCTGTCCCCAGGCGGGGCTGGCGGCTCCGGGCCGCCGAGGGGCCGCTCGCCGGTCCGCTGCCGGCCCCCGCCCTCCCGCAGCTCCCCCGCAGCCATCGGCGGGCGGGGGCGCGGCCGCGGAGGGGCCGGGAGAGCGCCGGGGGCTCCTGTGCTCCCCAGCCCCGTCGGTACCCGCGGCACGGCGGCGTGGCGGTCCGGAGCATCCCGGAGCATCCCGGAGCATCCCGGCTCTGCGCCCGCCCCCCTCCCGGGCTGTACCTGCGGTGCCGGGGCTCCCCGGGCAGCCTCCGGGCCGGCACCTGCTCCTGCGAGCCGGCTCCTGCTGCCACGGCTGTCCAGGAGCGAACCGAGGCCTGCCCTTGGAGTGCTGGCAGGATGAGGCCTTTTTTTTTTTTTTTGCAGCGTGCTGGCTGGCTGATATTTACATAATATCTCTGCTTAAATGTGACCTCGTCCCTAATTGGAGGTTTCCCTTCTATTTTCTATGGCAACACTACAGAACAGATCACTGGATCAGAGGAGTACCTGCACACACTGTAATTTTTCTCTCTTGGTTTCCCATCAAGACTGGTTTGTTCTAGTGGATGGGTGAAATTTTAAAAAAAGTTCTTTCCGTCAGCTCTTAAAGCAGTGGCTAGGCCTGCAAGTCACTGTAGATTTGCAGGATCTCTAAATTAGAGAGGATGAACACAGGCTTAACTAACTAGTAAGAATTATTTTTGTTAGGTATTTATATATTTACTAGCCTTACTAATGACTTCCATGCAATACACTGCTTAATCAAAACAACCCTAAGAAATGATGTTAATTATAACTGACTGTATTTATTTAAAAATTAATAGCATTATTAGAAGAAGAAAGAAAAGAAATTTTGTAGAGGGGAAGGAATGAATCACTTCATTCAGAGATTTTTATTGCTCAGTGGGATCCCTGCCCTGTGCTTAGAACCCATCATGTATAGACAGTAATGTCTCTTCTTACATGGTTGGTCTCACTGACAGTAAGCTTGATGTGCCTATATATTTATGCAGGAGTTGGATTCTGTAATGCTTATTAGGGTCTGCTGTGTTTCATCTTGTGAGATGCCAGCTTCACTTTCAGGTTTTATATGGCAAAGGGTGAATATCTTTGTGTTGGTTTTCCAAAACGTGCTGAAAATAAGTGTTTTGTGATTGTTAGACACACTAATTCATGGTGCATTTAGGCAGGAAGGTTTTTCTAAAGACCTTTAAATTTTGCCTTAATTATCTTTTGACATGGTGTTTTTGTTCTGCATTGAAAAAACACATGCCTTTTTGTTAATAATGCTAAAATTAGTTACTGTGATACAAACTGGGATACTGTGTATGGCATAGAACATTTGTTTTCTGTCTCTGCTCTGTTTCTACTTCTTGGTTCACTGGGATGACTTTGTTTTGTGCACCTGAGGTAGTGTGGGTTCTTTTGAGGTTTGAGCTATTTTTTTCTGGATGGGTGCATATAGGTTGTTAATACAAATCTAATCTTTGAATAGATATTTTTGACATTTAAACAGAAGGGCCAAGAATCTTGGAACTTGTGGAAGAGGTGATTCTTCTTATGGGTGGAGAGACCATTGCTGGGAGAGGTGCTCTACAAGTTCAAGGAGGCCATCCCTGGGACTCCTTCATTGAGATACTGGGGCTTGTCTGCTGCAGGATGAGACACAAGTACCAGAGGCCATTGGTGTGGAGATTTGCCTAACATATTTAAGTTCTCCTGCATGTAGATAGAGGCTTTTTATTTTCATCTGCTTTTTGGAAATGCTCTGCTCTGAGCAATGCTTGCTCTCCACTTAAATGAATGCTCCTTTAGTGTCTTAGATTGTTGTTATGGGAATGCAAGAGTTGGAAATATCCTCAAAAGAAGCCATGTGTTGAATCTGAGGTATAAATGAGGCTTGAACTGAAAGAGATGTGCTCTATTAAAATGCTAATTCCAAGACACAGTGATGGAGCAGACGTTTCTTAAGATTCTACTCTTAGAGGTCCCTCTCATTCAAGCTCATGTTTTGTTTTCCATAGTAAGTACATTTATGTCCACAGCACCATCTTTGTTGCAGTTCATCCCAGCTCTGCTGTCAGTTTCTGCCTTTAAATATAATTCGTCAGCAGCAAATGTTTGTAGTTACTTCCATGTATAGATTTTTTTTATTGTAGAACATTTTGGTTGGATTATGATAGAAGATGGGAGATGTAGGAGCAGCAAGCATATAAAGAAAGAAATGGGCCTGGGTTGTATTTGTGGGTTGTGCAAGGCCAGATGGAGCTGGCATAAATATGTGTCAGGTTGCTGAAAATACTGAAGAATGTGAAATTAGATTGTCCCTTCATATAAAAGCAAAGTTGGTTGCATGCTGCCTCTGTGTAAGAGGATATTTGGTCAGGTACAACTGATTATTGCATCTCTATTTCTTAATTTTGAACCAAAGTTGCTTTGCCATCAATCAAAGGGAACATCAAACCCTTCCTCATGTCCTTGTCTGTAATCCTGATGTTTTTTCTCTCAAACTTCATTAACTGTTCTGCTTCATTTTGAAGGCACAATATTCAGAATATAGACAAAGCCTTAATTGCAGCTTTGTGTACTGATATGCACAAACACATTCCATCTCTTGTTTCTCATTTTAAAAAAATGCATATTTAGAACAATTGTTAATTTAAGGTACTTAGTGCAAGGAAATTCCATTTCATGGTCATTGTTTTCTCATGTTACAAAAATAAAATATCTTGAGTTAATGATCTAAAAAAGTGGGTTTTTTTCCATCTTGGGAAGTTTTACTGTTGCATGCAAATTTTGTTTCTTCTGTTTAGTTTTTGCTAAGGTTTTTTAAAATAGAAAATTTTAGCAAACTATCAGCCCTAACTTCAGTAATAGGGAAAAATCTATAGTAGTTCAATCAAAGTGATGCAGATTCATTGTCAGTGAGGCAAGATGGAACCACTGTAGTAGCTTAAACTAATTTTTCATTCATTTTTTTTTCCCACAATACTTCCATCCTTTGCACATTATTGTAGATCATAGAACTTTGTCTTGGGCAGATGGAATGCTTTTGTAGGTCTTTTTTAGAAATCATTAAAACTTGGTTAGTTACTTCCTTACTTGCAATATTTCATCACATTGTTTGTCTAATAAGAATGGCAGCTGAAGAGAAGCTTCTGCCATGTGCAGTGGTGGGTGAGGTCTTCCCCTTTTTCTCCCAATACAATCCAAGCTCATAGATCTGGCATTTAATTCCACAGCTACCTTTGGATTTGATGCATTCTTTCTTTTCCATCTAGGCTCCCACCTGGAGCTGCTAAGTTGGACAGGAATGGATAAGGTGCTTGATTGTAGTGAGGAATACAGTGGGAATTTCTTTAGTTTATTTTTGTTCTGTTAGTTCACAGAAACTTGTATCTTGTTCACAATGGGAAATTACATGTTGATGAAGACAAAGATACAGAGTGGCAATTTCTAATTTATCTTAATATCCTTGGTTTTAAGAGAGGGTTACCTAATGCACATTTTCTAAAAACATAAACATATATATAC